GGGGGGGTCTAAATTGCCCAAATACTTATGTGAAAGGGGGGATTAGGGTAGAATTATGACCCCTGTGCCTCTGTTCATGTAATGTATCATTCAGAAGCCCCGTCTCTTAGCTCTACCTCCTGCAGCCTGCTGTCACAGTGCTCAGCACCTTGGAGAGTTTCAGGAGCAGAGCTATGTCTGGCTATTTTCAGAACTGGAGTTTTGCACTCAATCTCACATTCTTACTTTATCACTTGTTGCTGTATTAAATGTAGATCAGCCACTATAATACCTGACTGCTAAGGTAAGATCCCAGCCACATAGGGAGACCATTGTTTTTAATAGGTTTGCACTTTGTGAACCAGCAATAGAGCACAACCATTGTGTTGTGCTGTAAAGCAGGAAGCAAAACCCGAGTATGCAATGAGCAAATATGGCTGCCTCCGCGTACAATGATACAGAAAAACAAGGCTTTTATATAAACACGTGGCATGCATTGATAGGAGTTATTGAGCTGATCACTTTGACTTGTTTTACTATAAAAAGCTGTACATTCCCTTTAGGTAAGTTTACCATTAGTCCCCTGTTTCCTGCGGACAGTCCCTGTTTTGAGAGGTCTGTCCCCAGGAAACAAACATCCCCGGTGGCAGTGAACTCCAGTCATATACAGCCAGTTCCGTACATACTGTGATGGCTGCATCTAGGCCTCTGCATCACTTACTGCTGACCCCTGAACTCTTGTGTTACTACTGAACCCTGCGTTACTTACTACTGGGCTCTGAACCCTGCATTACGTACTACTGACCCCTGAACTCTTGTGTTACTACTGAACCCCGCGTTACTTACTACTGGGCTCTGAACCCTGCGTTAATTACTACTGGGCTCTGTACCCTGCATTACTTACTACTGACCCCTGAACTCTGTGTTACTACTGAACCCTGTGTTACCTACTACTTGGCTCTGAACCCTGCGTTACTTGCTACTGTCCCCTACTCATGACCCCTGTCCTCCATGCGTTACCCACTGATTACCCCTGTCCTCCATGCATTACCTACTGATTACCCCTGTACTCCATGCGTTACCTACTAGGGAGCGTGATTTTGTGAATGTGGCATCCAATGGGGGTGTGGTTTTATGGGTGTGGTGTGTGTCCCCGGATTTCATTTTGAAAATCTGGTAACCTTACATTTAGGGCTTGTTAACACCATTTGTTTGCGGTAATGTATGTACAGTAAGTGTGCTGATGCAATGCACTACCATTCTTTCCGAATGTCACCCCAAAGCACCTTCCGACGGACGTACGTTGCACTAACATCTGTTGCCAAAATATGGTGCACACTCCATTTCTTGCCAGTACACTGCAACCCATTTTGTTGTGCTCATTTGGGATGAATGGCACCACATCGCACCATCATGTTACTACAAAGCCATGGTGTGCACAGGCCCTTAAAGAGAGTTGGCGACAGGGTCTCTTTAAACAGGTTTAGGTTCTCATAAAGCTTACGTTTCTTCTTTTACTTACCTGGAATGAGCCAATAAAGAGGTCAAAGAAAAGTTTCACTAGTCTCAGGGTTCCGTATGCCACCTCATCGCTGACCAGCGCAAACACCACCTCGTGTATGCCAAGCAGGGGGATCAGTGTGAGTGTGGACCTCGCCAGCCTGGTAGAAGAAACAGCAATATACAGCTGAAGCCAATATACCTCTCCGCTCATGTGTCCACCCCTGATTTAAAGTACCCAATGTAGTTTTGAAGAACTCATGTTGTAAAAGGAGGCAAGGAATACTGGGACTCCATTTTTCTTTACCTATGAAGGATTTAAAGTTATTGGAAGGCTGATATTAAACCGCATCCACCATCCCAACATAACCATCAATGTGACTGCGTAAAGGAAAAGAAAAAAAAAAACAGCCAGAAGATAAAAGATTCATACTGGTTACCAGTCCCGCCACCAGTAACTTCAATCTTCGCTCCCTTGCACAGCTACATCTGCCAAACAATTGTCTTTGTGGTGTCAGATGCCTACCTTCCCCACAGCAGAACACAGTACCAGCCGCTACATCCCTACTGTGCCCCTGAAGTGTCAGATGCTGAAGATTCTTTGGTGGGTGTAGCTCTGCAAGGGAGTGAAGACTGGAGTTGCTGCTGATGGCACTGGTAACCAGTATGCATCTTCTTTTACATGCTGGCTGATATATAATTTATTTTTTTCAATGGAGTCCCTTTAAGGGCTTCATTCATAAAAGTTCATTTACACGGGCGGTCGAGAAGGCGGTACAAAAAATGTGGTTGATCCATGTTTTTGCCGTTCCCTGGCTGCCCACTGGCAGAGTTAGCACTGCTGTGGCTGGACAATGCTGTACACATTGCTCCAGCCCCTGTGCTTTGCAGCAAAATTCAGACAGCATGTCTCTTTACTGATGTGAATGGGACCGTGCCGTAACAACATGCCAAACACTTGGCATGAGGTTGCGGTTTAGCACTTTCAATATAAAATCCTTTTTGGGATTAAAGAACTATGGGGTCAGGGCTTTTGCCCATAGTTCTCTTAAGGGTAACGGGAGGACACAAACTAGCATCCTCCCGTCACCCAAAGCTCAGTGTACCGCGAGCTACAGCTCGCAGTATACGGAGACGCCGCAGCCGGAAAGGAACTCGACATTACTGTCGAGATCCACCCAGCTGCGTGAGTGACAGCTGGCTCTGCCTATCTAGAGGCAGAGCCAGCTGTACCCGCCCCCTCCCCTGTCCGTTCCGCCAGTCAGCGCTGGAGGATTGGACAGGGGAGGGGGGGAATCCCGGCAGGCAGCCGTGAGGGACAGTCACGGCTCTCTGCAGGGACATGATCGAGAAGTGAGCGAGCGACGGTATTTGTGTTCGCTCACTTCCCGATCTATTGAGCCGACCTGTGACAGTCTCATTGCCTTACGTCGGCTAGAACTACAGTATGAGGTTGAGTGAAAATCACTCACCTCATAGTTCTCCTTTAACTAATAAAAAAACAAAACAGGCGATCAGGGGGTGGCAGTATCACCTCCTGAACGACGGGAAGCTGCTTTTCTTCCGCCCTCTGATCCATTATGGATCACTTTTTTAGAGGGAGCAATAAATGAATAATAATAATTGAGTATATATCAGAATTTGTAAGTTCCTGACAAGTTATCCTTTAATTTCCTGTCTCTCTCTCCCCCCCCCCCCTTTTCTTGTAAAAATGGCTGGCCTTTAGTAGTTACAAAGTGTACCTGTAAAGAAAAAAAGATTGTATTCTTGCCTTTCCATTATCTTCCGCCCACAGCGCCTAGGCGAGGGTGATGTGGCGAGATCCTAGGGAGTTCCGAGCAGACCAAATCTCACGAGAAGATGCTCTTGCACTGGACTGGACAGCTTGCAAAATTTGGGGTACTTATCAATGCCCATGGATCATCCAGGAAAAACAGTGACATCATGGCCGGCGATGCGGATGAAAACAGTAGGGGGAGTATGAAGTCTAAATTTTTACTTTACAAGTACACTTTGGAACTACTAAAGGATAGTTTTTTGTTTTTTTAAAAAAAGAGGAGGGGCCTGGCCACTATAAGCAGACTTTGCATTGTCCAGCTTTAGGATGAAACTTCCAAAAACCCACTAATACCTTCTCCATCAGAAAAAACAAGTACTACATCATCTCCCCCTCCTCGTTTGCATGATGTTTACTACTACAATACAGGAGCATTCTAACTGCCAAATTACAGTCTGCCCTCCGCAGCGTCAGGGCGGTCCCTACGGCTTGTGCCGCCGTTTTGCCGGTGCCACACGTCTCTCACCTGAGTTTATAGTCTGTGTACCTCATCTGATGAGCTCGCATCTTCGACAAGAGAATCTGAATTATCCTCACGAATATTAAAAAGTTGATCTACAAGTATGAGAAAAAGAAGAAGCGCGTTTGTCATGGAAGTCTAAACATTGGCGTTCTCCAACTTTTCAACAGTTTGTCTTATGGCAAAACAATCCAGAGTGTTAGAACGCAGCTGCTGCTGCCATTGCCGCGGATCTTCTCCCAAATAAAAACAACATTTTATTTTTCGATTATTAAAACAAAACTACATAGTGACTGTTGAGTGATTGTCGGTCTCACGTGACCAAAAATAGCCCTCGATTAATTGTGGCAATCTAGAAAAGATGCTTGGAAAAAAAAGGGGGGGGGGAAGGGGGTCACCCATGTGTCAATTTGATGGAGTTCAGCTTTAATTTTACATCACTTTTTGGAGGGTGAGTTCAGCTTCAATCCATCCTCCCACGACCACACCCCCAAAAAAAACTGCCGTTAGCTAAAGTATATAAGATTTATATAGTGGTAGTTAAAGTGGACCTTACACCTCAAGGTGACAAGGCCTGCTTTTTTCAAGGTGCCCCATCCCTATAATGCTGGATAAAGGGGGAGGAGGCGGGGGTAGTTTGATAACATACTACCAACCTTTCCCCACCTTCCTCTTGCAGCACTTAGGCATGGGTGATGCCATCATCCTTCTGGCAAGACCTTGAGATTTGAATAGCCCAAATCTCTTGCAGACCATCCTGCACTGTGCTGCAGCATCTTTTCGCAAGATCTGGGCTACTTAGTATTCCCTGAGATCTTGTTGGTAGGAAGATGGTGTCAACCCCTTCACGACGGAAGTCAGAGAAAGGGGAGTATATTATTAAACTATCTATCCCCTATTAGCTCTTTTATGTAACTTTT